AATAATTGCAGAGAAAAGTTGTTTTCAAGGATTAATTTTGTCATTAACAAGAAGTGCAACATACTTTTATTCAATACATCAACTGTGTAGTTATTTGGTAAAAGACTGGGGTCTAAATAGCTGCAGCTATGTAGAAAGCATGAATCAATATCAGTTTTCCTTAGCTCAAGATAATTTAACTTCTTTAAACCTACCAATCTTGTGTCATATATACATATATATAAAACATATCCACACATACACACACACACACACACACATATATACAATTTTAGTTTCTGCTTGGATATCACATATATGATTTTCAAGAACACAAAACCCTACAAACAAGAGGACAATGATAGCCACGTGTCACCTTCCGTCTTTATAATCCACCATGAGGAGCTCCATTATATACCTCCTTGAAGAGCACAAGGACATTCAGTGAACCTAATATTATATTTAAAATGCATCAGTTTGAGATGGATGGTTGTAACCAAAGAGTTTACTGCTCTGATTCACCATGACTCATCAGTGCTAGAATCATGAGTAAGTGACAGGCTTTAATCCCAGAATACAAAGTTCATGGCAAAAAGGAGCGAATTGATTTTTTTAGGTTTATCCTATCTGACCACGTGTTACTCCACTATGGAGTGGTTAATAGATTTCCTCCCAAATCCACCCAAAAACCCAATTATTTTGAGTTTCAACATCATTAAACTCAAAATAACTCTTGTTGTTGGGTCAATCTACTGCACAGATTCCAAAATTAACCAGAAAATGTGTGAAATGTATAAATAGAAGAGTTTGAGTAACAAAACACTTTACAGTCTAATTAGTGAAGTCTTATCCAGATGGCCTCATATAATAGGTACCTAAAAATAATGCAGTTCTCCCCTTCATTTACAACTCTTTGTTGTTTTCTTCTGACAGGGAGGTAAGAGTAGAATTTTAGAGATTTGTTAAACTACTTTGAGAAAATAGAGTCTAAAAATACTTCTAAAAAACAAATATTTCATGTCTCTTCAGGCTAAACCATAGCTTTTACCTACTGTTGGGATGCTAAATAAATGGATCACAGGAGTTTCAACAAACACATGGCTAAAGGAAATGGAATATTAATCAGAACATGTGTTTTTGTGATGACTCCTGTTAAGTGGGACCCAGAGCATTCCAGATGTCTGGTCCCTTGATACTTATGGAAAATAACCCACAAGCTTGCTGGATTTTGCTGTGAAGGACAATTCCTTCACTAAAGAAATATGCTTTCTTTATGTCACTACATAGATAAATACAGAACTAAAAAAAATGTTATCCTTGGAGGTAGAAACAAACTCAAAACTCAAACAGTGGTATTAATTATTTTTATAGACCACCTCAGGTCAGCAGATGTTGATTTTAAGGATATGACCCATAGTGAGGTGTAGTGAAAATCATACATTACTACGAACAGTTAACACTGAGGTTATAAAGGTTTAATTTTAAAGGTGTTAGAAAGGATCAAGATTATTGCTATGGTGATATTGTCTTGGTATGAGAGAAGAGGATAGGTAACAGCTAGGGTTCTCCAAGATTTTCACTAACCTTGGCCTATTTCCCACATCATGTAATCTGAGGACATCGTTACGCTTGAGTGGAGCTTGTTAAAATATGATAGGCTACATAGGATAAATAATACTGAGAATGAAAACATTTGAGAACATTAGCCTTAAAACTGTAAAATATCATCAAAATTAAAGCCCTGAGAAAGCAATAAAGGATGATACAAGTGAACACAAATAATAATCTGCCCCCAAGATATCTATAAATGTGATGGCTGAAGGTGTGAGCTAAAAAGAAGACTGGACAAAGGGGTGTCATAGAAGAGGCCCCTTGGCACGGTCAGGATTCAGGAAACACAGATGATCCACAGTGACTTTTCCTGGCAGGCCCAGTCTAACAGTAGAAACAGGTATCAGGACAGTCCAGCTTCATGCAGTCAATCCAGTTCTTATTACTTCTCCGGCAAAAGCAGACATTCATAGATTATCTTTCATCTACCCTTTCCCCTATTCACAGCTTACTGTTAAAGTTCATGAACCAACATCCATAAATACTCTAATTCCCAGAATTAACGTTCAGTGAAGGAAAAGCTCCAGCTGAACTCCCTCCTAGGGATTTGGCTGAGAACCATGCAGGATCTAGTTATAATTAATCTTTTGAGAGACACAAAAGGCGGCTATTTCTATGTCTCTATTAATGGGGTCAAATAAAGGGAGGGTCATGTTTGTATTTTTGAGCAACTATAATAAACTGAGGAAGATCCAAGAAACAACGCTGTTACAAACATGGGTAGGAATGCACTGAAAAGAATTCACTTTCATGGTACCCTGCAAGTGTCCTAACGACCATGGAAAACTTTAAGCACTAATAGAAATCTTGGTTCAGAGACCTAGACCTTTTTATACTAGTACATTTCTCCCCAGAGGCAAGCAAAGTACTTTCAAAGGATATCCATTCTTTGAAGTCAGTTAGAAAATTATTGCTCTAGGGTACTAAAAAGCACCTCCAGGAGCTCGACAGAGATAATGTGCAACTGCACTGTACTCATTATGCCAAGATGTAATTTACCGTTTCAGCACACACTCTTTCCCTCCGTGCATGCCCAGGGTCATGGGAGTGGGGAATCACAACAGGGTTTCTCTCTAAATGTTTACAATGCTACAACGGTAAACCTCGGTGGGTTAGCTCACAGTGGGCATGAATTATTCCTGTATACCCCTTCTGAAAAATTATAGAGAGCCATTCACTAATGGTTTTCAAGGATTGGGAGTAAGATTATTGAAAGTTAAATCAATCCTTGCCCCCATTGTCAAACAACAGGATACAGTAAATGCTCAAAATGTTATTTCTACTTCATGTACAAAAATAAATATATTTACTAATGTATATACTCCCTTTGTAAAGTTTTCTAAAGCAGTAGGTTTTAATGACCAAACAGGAAAGGTAGGTGAGATTCACCAAAATCTTTTCCACTTCATGACATCAAGAACTAGCTTTACTTCTGGCAAAGGTCTAAAATAGTTTATATCACTGAAGCTCATTGCTCTATGTTAATGCCAAGTCTTCTTAGTTTACCAGTGAAGTCAAATACAAAGCTGTTTGTACCTATATTTGTGCACAAGCTTGCAAATTCAAGGTTTTTCTTGAAGCAGTGGAGGAAAAGGGGTTAGATGTTACGGCTATTTACAGCAACCTGTTTAAGGTTCCATGAGAACAAGAAAGAATCCTTCTCATTACATGATTAAATTTTACATTATTTGTGTGATAGAACACAGAATCTATTTCATATCTTTCCATAAATTATTTCAGTCTTTTAAATACTTGGGAACAAGTCAGTTAAAGGAGGCACAAATAAAAAAGAGGGAGCGATGAAGGTAAGAAAATTTAATCCACAATATCCAAATCATGGCATTATAGCAGCTATCTACAGCTAATACAAAATTTCCATAAAAGTCAAGATTCCTTCTGAGAGATTTGGGACTCAATTTATCCTGGGTTTTTACGCTATCAAAATTCAGATCAGAGAGCAAAGAGCTAAATGCAGAAGGGGCAGGTGTCTGGTTACTGGGTTTATGGCTGACACCATTCTTCCACTGCACATTTTCCGGCTTGGGCTGCCTTGACTTGGGTTTAATGATGCCTGGCAAGGACCCCTCAGTATTGGAAGGGCCTTTCCCACAAGAGAGTCTGGATGGGAGGTTGTCATTTTGAATTCTATTTTATATATCTGTAATTCACTTCTTACAATTATTCAAGGAGAGTATGCTTATTAGGCAAGTGGTTTTCATTTGTATAAACAAGTTGGTGAAAAATTGCAGGTGTGAGTTCCCCACAAATTAAGTGATAAGACACCTGGAGTGAATTCTTTATGTGATATTAAAAGGAAAAGTTTGAAAGCAGAGTTTATGCCTATAAATAAAGACAGCAGGTTATTATGGCTTATAGCTGAAAGCTGAATGGGCTGCTTCTATTTGAAGATGCATGAGGATTTGTGTCCAAATGTCTTCTTTCACTTCAACGTGAAGACTTAGCCCTAGCATTTGTTTTTCATAGGATTCTAGGCATACTACTCAAAGAATATCTTAGCATCAAATACAGTGGCTCCTGGACAAATGACTCAAAGAGAGACTGCAACTCCTAACAAAACCACTCCCAGGAAACTTTCACGCTTAACCTAATATGTCTATGAACTAAGGAATAGTTAAGAATGAGCCTATGTTACAATGGGAACAATGGAGAGTATGTAAAAGGAGAGGGAATATTTCTCAATCTGATAGTTCAAAGCATAGAAGGTACTGTATCTTAATTTTTCAGTTTTACAAGGGGTGGAATGTTGTTCATGAAAGTAAATGCAATGCTCCTGAAACGTTTTGCAGTGTAGGCTCACTCTGACTCTGGTTTCTATTGCCATTGCTTTTTGGACTTATACCTGCTGGCCAAACCATATTCTATAACTCTACACAGTGTTTCCCGTGTAACTCTGAACAGATTCCTGGTTTTGTTTTTGCCAAAAGTAGTAACTTATTTAAGGTAAAAAAAAAAAAGAAAAAAAGAAAATAGATACATGACCAGAAAGTCATAAACACTGTAGTAGTATGTGTTACTCCATTGCATGATAATCATCAAGTCCAGAATTAACTTTATCAATTTTAGGACCAAAAAAAAAAAAAAAACAGAGAAAAAGAAGAGTATGGACATCGTTTATAACGGAGAAGTCATAGAGAGAACTTGCCTAAAAAAAAACCCAAAATAGAAAAAAGAATATGTAATGGAGAGAGTATGGTGGAGAGGAAAAGATATAGCAATAATTCATAAATTATTGAAAAAGAGATAATAGTACTCTTCAAATGCAGTGAAGTGTTTTTTTCAGGGGATAAGAGTATATGAACAACCACTATTTCAAATTTCAGGTATGTGTTTAACAAGCTTACAATAATAATACATTTTATGGAAAAATGTAATGGGAATAATACTCTTACCATCTGTTTTCTTTGTATCATTTCCGACATTCGAGTGATCCTTCTTGTCTGTCTTGTTTTTACCATCTTTTAAATCACCTGGAAGTAATCAATATGACAAACAATATATGTATACAGCTGAGGGGGATGTTATAAATATCTTTCAACCTGTCACGGTTAAAAAATGCAGCATAGTTTATAGTCTGAGGGAGTACATGTCTGAGTGTAAATATCTTTTGTAACCACATGTTAAATTCTGGAAATTGGAAAATAAAAAAATTAAGATGGAAAGTTCCTGTCAGACAGGCTTGTACTTAAGTCACTGGTGTTTATCTTCCAGGAAAGGTGATTAAGTTCCACTGTTAGGCTTGGAATGAGAAAAAATGTGGTTTAAATGTTAGCTCTACTAATGAATAGCTATTTCACATCTCTCCGCTTCAGTCTTATCTGCAAAATGGCGATACTAGTGCCTCCCTTATGGGCATAATGGTAACTGCATTTAAAGTATGTAAATACTAATGTATTTTCTGGTATATCACTCAGTGACAGTTGCTTTTTATTCTAAACCAGAGCTAAATGATATGCTTGTTACCAGGGAATAGGTACTTATGGGCATTTTAAAGTATGTTAAAATAAGATTAAGATAGAGAGGACATTTTTACATCCCACAGTCAATAAACCTACATCCTCTGGGATTATCTTCTCTCATCAAAAACCTCTGAGGTAGTGTATAACTTCACAATTACACCGGTCAAAGAGTAGATAGCAGAGTTAAACTCAGCCATATTCCCCAAAAACAGAATCAGGAAATTATGGCTCAAAGGCCCCTTAGTAAAGCCAAAAAGAGTTCTACCGGCATGCAAGTATGCCCACTATTCACACATGGCCACAGCTGCTTGCATGCCACAATGACAGAGGGGGATAGCTGCTACACAGGCACATAGGGCACAAACATTGTCTATCTATCTGGTTCTTTACCAAAAAAAAGAAAAAGAAAAAGTCCTGGCCCTTGTGTAGAATAGGATAATCTGATAATCCTTGGGCAAGTCTCTCAATCATAGGCCAACGTAACATGAAAAGGACATGTATTCCTTCCTCCAGCCTTATGTTGGAGTTTTGTATATTTTCGCTACCAGTCTTGCTAACGGAAGTTTTCTTTCTGGCCTGCATAAAGTCAAGAATACGTTACTACTCAAATACTCTGTATTTACTAAAGCAAAAAGATCTTAATAATTGGAGTAAGCAGAGCTTCAAAGATGTGTGTATGAGAACAGGAGATCAGTTTTTTAAAAACTTTGTGTCAGGCAATGGGCTAAACGCTTTGCCTACATCGTTTCATGACATTCTTACAACAATCTCTTTATAAGGCAGTGTTATGGAAAATGGAAACACTTACAAAAGACTCATTCACTAAATGACCAACTTCCTGAATAATCAACTGACTGACCAAAGGATTGAGGATTTTTCCACATTTGATCTTTTCCTCCTTTCAGGCAGATAGGTGAACACTGGTCAGTCTATCTAGGTCAACTCCACCAACATAGGTTTGAAACGCTACCTGACTTCACTTCTGAGTTCAACCTTGCAGCTGCATCTCCCCCTGGTGGCAAAAATGTTCCTGTCAACTACTGTAGGTTTGGTTTAAGCCTCTTGTCTGGTATCACTGTAAGTTTTTTTTTTTTTAATACAGTAGCAATTCTTTCCAAAAAGAAAGGTATTTCAGTGAATAGTAGCTGAAAAAAAACAGAGTTCTAATTCGCAATAAAATTAATGCCACTCCAAAATGTCTATAGATTGAGCAGTTGAGAACAGGACCAATGACAGTTATAATTGTCATTCCTTAAGCTTTTGCCATACACTATTTTACCCACTTTATATAAATTATATCATGCATCTTCACAACAACCAAATGTAGAAGTCACAATGATCACCATGATTTTCAGGTAACAAAAATAGCTTTTTTTGTATGCCTTCCAAAGCTAGAAAGTGGTGAAGTGCTTAGAACTATAAATTTCAGAAATTTTTATTTCCAATTTTTTTGTTGAAAATTGTCACTAAAACATTTTTATTGTTATTAATACATATTTGCAGTACATAATTATTATATTTATTTTGGGAAACTGATACATGTATATAGCATGTCTCAATTCTTTTTTCCCCTTCCCTTTCACCACCCTCCTTTTTAAAGGCTTTTTGTAATGAGCATCAGATTTATTTATTTGTTTTATAGGTACTTATCAAATTAATTACCATAAGTATGATTAACATCATTTTGGAACAAATGGCCAATTAATCTTACAAATTTTGCTTCTTTGTAGGGAACTGTTCTGAAATATATTATCATGGGGCTGGGAATTTAGCTCAGCAGCACAGCGCCTGCCTGGCAAGCGCAAAGTCGTGGGTTTGATTCCCAGTACCGGAGAAAAACCAAAAAAAAAAAAAAAAAAAAAAGAAATATATTATCATCCCCATCTTATGCACTATGAATTCAAGGAGTAGATGAAGTAATACCACAGGCCAAACAAATGGGTCTGATTCTAAAGTTCAAGCTCTCCATTTATAGTTTTCCAGGAAAGCTCAAGTTTTAGAGTTCAGGTTTCCATTTCTAATTACTTTGCCCTGCAGACCTATGAAAAAATTATCCTACCTAAGGATAATTCAAGGCCACTGTTAGTTGTGTTATATTCCACAAACCACACACACATTCTAAATTAAATTAGAAGTCAATACATTTATTTCCTGGGTTCTCTGCCTTTCTTAATCCTGAAACTGGATGAACTAGCTGGAAGCATTGAGAAGGGGCATCTACTTTGGCCAGGTCAAAACAAGTTGGATTTAAGCTACCACAAGAGAAGGGTTCTTTTGGAAGTTCCACGAAACAGTCCAAATATTGGCTTTTGCCTGTTTGGAGAAGCTACATAGGAACTCAAGGATCTCAAGCCCTGTTGTCAAGTTAATTCCCTGAAGCAAAGTGATCCTTCTTCTCTACAGGAAGGTTCACATACTTAATGCCCTCTATTTTCTGCCTGCTGGGTAGTTCTGACCTGGAGCTTTACCCGCAACTGCTGCAAGACCAGAGTATCTGTGAGAAATCAGCATCTCAATGTTTCATTGTGCTGGATGCTGGCCAGTAGCCCCTGCAGCCTGTCTTCTCAGCCATGACTAGGGAGGCTGGAGGAATAAGTTGCCTTGTTGGAAAACAATGTTTAGAGGATCCCATAATCACCAAGAGGGGACCAAACCTCTAGAACCTCTGTACCAATGAATGCCCTTCAGTCTTAACATGGAAAATGTCTTTGGCAGCCCATGAAGAAGAGTTCTGGAAAGTGACACATGTTTGTTTGATGACACTTCCCAAACAGAACCTATTAGGTAATTTCCCATGGGTTGTACTTGAGTAATGGCTGATATGAGCTGCTACTCAATAAACGGGGGAAACCAAAGAGCCTGTCTGGGCAGTTATAAATCATTTTAATTAGGCTGCTGTAACAAAGTCCCCAACCACCATTAGCCTCTCTTATTATTGCTCTAAATTGATTTCTTTTCCCACCTCTCATTAAATACTTAATTTTTAAGAGAAAGGGTAGATGGCTACTTTCTTGGGGAAGTAAACAGAGTTTTGAAATCAAGTCAGTCTAGTTGTAGACTTGAGCTCCTGTTTTGTCTTTTCGACTCTCCCCACAATCATCATCTGAACAGATTACGCCCCCGTCCTCCCTCTCTGAGTCTGTAGGATTGACATGTTCCCTGTGGCCAGCTGATTTATGCTTAGTGGTTTTTCTCATTGATGCCAAGGCTTGTCCCACTCCCTGCTTATGTATGACCCACAAACTGAGAATGGCTTTCACACATTTACAGGGTTACAGACAAAAGATGAGTATTTTGTGACATGAAAACTAGATAGAATTCAAATTTTAATTTCCTTAAATGAAGTTTTACTGGAGTATAGTCCTACTCACTTTATGTATCACCTGTAGTTTCTTTTACCCTAACGGCAGCTTTGAGGGGTTGGGACACATCATCTGACCCACAAAGCCTAAAATGTTTACAACTGGTGCATTACAGAAAAAGTGTGCCAGCCCTTGGAAAAGGCAGCTTACAAACTTCTTTTGGACACCAGTTAAGTCTCCTCTTTCCCCAGTACCCATCCCCCAAAGGCAATAAACCTGGAAAATATTAAGAATATGCTGGTAACTGACTGTGAGGTGGGGACTCACGAAACTGGATTTGACCTGTGACCTCTCCTTAATTATTGGTTGACCTTAAGCAAGTGATTCACTCTGTCTACATCTCTATGTTCCTCTCTACAAGACGGGAATACATGTTTCCACCTGGTAGAGTTGTTAGAACTTTAAATGATTTTAATATGAGGTAAAAATTTCAGGTATAGCAATCATTAAACATGCAATAAATAGTCGTGTTATTACAATTACTGTTTTTACTAAAGGAAGGAGATTTTTAGCTCACTATGCTAAACAAAAAAAAAAAAAAAAAATGAGAAAAGAAATATCCTGCCCTTCTCCTTCTGTGCCTGATCTATCCAGGATAGATTGTAAAAGAAACACTGATCTATCCAGGAGCAGAAGCTGAGCATGTAAAGCTCAACTCAGCCACCTATTTCCCATTCACCTTTGAGACGTTTCTCACAAGACACAAACTCTTGCTGTTGCTGCTGAGTGGGGTAAGTCCTTGCACCTGTCTGACTGCTCAGCTCAGGTCCATGTGCCAAGAAGCTAGGTGCTCAGGAAAATTGCCCATGTCTAGCAGAGCTAGTACATTGGCCATTGGCTTCCGGATTTTGGCATCATCTATGTCTCGGTTTATAGCTCAGGAAGGAAAGAGAGGGGTGGTTTATGAGGCCCTCTAACTCTTTAATAGGAGACCATAAACTCTAATTAAATTGAATAGTTGTTCTAGGCTATGGCACTTTTTAAAGTTTTTTTGGTACTAGTTAATGAGCAGATACTCTAGATACTCTTCCTATTTACCCAAGATCTGTCTCCTTCTCTATTATCTATCTGTCATTTTGCTCTTTAAATTATTTACACTTTGAATTTCTCACATAACAGAAGTCATATGATCACTGAAGCTAGTTGGTCAGATTTATTTCACTTAACATTCTGGTCTCAACACATTTGAATACCAAGCAAACTAGTTAAGGAAAGATTCTAGAACCAGGCAGAAGCCTGGAGCTGGACTAACTGGGGCAACTGCCATCTCTGCCTCTTAAGAGTGGTCATGAGGGTTAACTAAGGGAATTTATGCAAAGTTCTTAGAATGTGACATGAACTACCATGACTACAGTATATATTCAGATATTATTTTCTGATTATACACCACATACATGTTAATGTAAAAATAGTCAGAGAATATTGTGCCAAGAACTTTCTACCTATTACTCATTGACCCAGATCCTTCAGGAGCTATAGGAGATCACCTGGCCTACCATGAAGATAAGAGAATTGAGTATGAGAAGTCAGAGCTTAAAACAGCATCTGCTATATAGTAATAAATGTTATTTGTTTTTATTGTCTTTGTTGTTTTGTTACTGTAATTATTACTGAAAGCTCAGAATAAACCAGTGCTGTGAGAAGGTATTGTGAGTGTTTTATGAAAATAGCAGAACATTAAATAACCTGGCCAAGGCTCAGGGGAGGCACAGCTGTTATTTAAATCTGCAAAGCTACCTGCTACTTGGCCCCAACCTGGCACTCGCAAGCTGCAGAGACTCTCCTAAAAATGGGAACCAATTCCATACCCTTGTGCTCACCTTGTTGTCTCTGGCGGACAAGCTTTTCTCCCATCTGACCAGCAAACTTGAGCATTTAAAACCCAGCTCAGACCTCCCCTCCTCCAGGAGCCTTCTCTAAAATTTACTCCATCTCACAAATCTCAAAGTGTTGGCAAAGCTCAGTCTCCTTCTGTGTGCATGGCTTTTGGATATTTTATCAGCCACATTACTACTACTACTTTCCCACATTTCATTAGAATTGTTTATGCGGATGTCTGTATCTCCTATGACAGCCCTAGGGCCTTTGCATTTCTAAATCCCTGTACTTAGTACAGTGCTTGACAGAACAATGTTAATTAACAAATACTTTTTATTAAATATAAAACATCATCAATTATCTCCCTGTATATCAGTTTGCTCAGTGGCCAGCTTACTCAAGTTTGCCTGTACCTTTTAGTTTTAATATAAAAAACCCTGACTCCCAGGAGAGCCTCAGTTTCTGGCAAACTGGCAGGGCGGGTCACCCTGATGTGTGTACTTAGGCACAGATAGATATACAGATGCAGCCTGAAGGAATAGCTCTCAGGCACCCGGCAGGCTGGCCCTGCTATCGGAATGGTGCCTTTAGGAAACTGGCTTCCCATCCACCCACTTTGGCAATGAGCTCTCAGCGCTGTGTTAATGTTTTTAATAGTAATTTGCACCTGATGGGCAGGTGGGCACTGGCTGGAATCTCCAGGGAAGCTGGGAAAAACTAGAAAGGTGTAACTCCCTCCCGGCCAAGAGAAAGGCACAAGTGAGCTGGCAGCTGTTTCTGATGGATCTTTCAGCATCCCTGCCAGTAAGTGAGGGGCAACAAGAGTTGGATGCTCAGGGGAATCTGGTCCTGCGAGTGGCTGGCCGGTGGAAGGTGTTTGCCAGTTTCCACTCATCACATCATTAACACCTCCAAAGAGTTTTGCACCGGCCAGCGAAATGCTCCTCACCGTTCTGTTGCTTTTCTCCCGGCCACTTCTCCACTTTGGGATTCTTCGCACGGGCGTTGTCACTTTTGTTTGTGCGTGTTCCGTTCACTTGACTCTTACTGTCTCCAGATGTCTTTTTTTCAGCCTTGCTAGCCACACCTTCTTCAGCCTGGCCTTTGGCTTCCATTTCCTTCTGCTTCTCTTCTGCAGCCAGGCGAGCCTTTTCCTCTGCTTCTTTCTTGGCCTTCTCCTCTGCATCCATGGCAAGTTAGGGAAGGCAGAGAAAAAAGAAAAAGAGGTCACACCATTATGAGAATTGCCTCTTTGGGGAAAAAAATAACAACAATGATTTGCACTGGGAATTAATACATTACAATCATCGCAGATGTTCAATGAGTGTTTTGGGTATTTTTTGGTTAATTCAAGTCAGGTTGGTGTATATCACAAAATAGGTTCATAACAATGTCATTTCTGCAAAGAATGAGTTAGAGGAAGAGGCAGGGAGAAAACAAAAAGAGTAATGATTAGTGAGCCAGTATTGTAACAGGAACTATAATAGTAACTTCTATTTTGTCTTCTGTGCTGTGTTTTTGAGAGTTATTTCTTTTCACCCTTTCAGCTACCTTTTGTAGGTACTACTATGGTGACCTTACTTTATACATGTAGAAATTGAGGTTTAGAGACATAAAACTTTCCCAGTCACAGTAAAAATTGGCATTTTGGGTAGGATTGCTTAGGACCTAAAGTTTAAAATAAAAACTTAGTTACAAAACAAAAAGTCAGGAAAATAATTACCACTAAGATAATACACACTCAGGCTACCATGGATTGGAAAATAGAACCAGGATAATTAAGCTTTACCAACAAACGAACGAACAAAAGTCTTCACTTGCCCTCTCATCTGCCAGCTATGTGGTCTCTGTCTTTTCTTTCATGAGAGGGTATCAGCATTATTTCCAATTCAGCTGATGACAGAAGGGCTTGGCTCTGTGCTTAATGTAAAGCAAACTATTATTGCATAGGTCAAATATGTACAAAAAGATTGGTTGATTCATTCACTGTATATTTTTTGAGTAACTATAGTGTGAAGCATTACTTTAGGTGGTAGAAACACAACAGCAGATGACACAGTCATGGACAAGGATATAATTAAGTAAGGAAATAACTAAGATAGTTTCAAATGGTGAGAAGTGTTTCTCCAAAGACTAAAGTAGAGTAATGTGATGGAACATGATCGCATCGGGGAAGGAAGGTGGCAAAAAAGAAGGCTTTCTTGAGAAGGTGACAGTTGACTGAGTCCAGAGTGATGAAAAGCCGACTATGCAATAATGTGGAGAAATAACCTTCCAGGCAGAAGAACTAGAAAATGCAAAGGCCATGAAGTGCAAATGCACTTGGTATGTTCAAGTGACAGTGAGTTGCCACTATGGCTAAAGCAGATTTGGCAAGGAAGAGGTTAGTAACAGATGCTATGGTAAAGTGACAACACACATAAAAAGTCCTAAGCAGAGATTAATCAACTGTATGGTCCAGAGACTCACAGAATGTAGCATTCCGTTCACTCAAAAGACCTCCCAGACTGAGCCACCTGCCTCCTCTGTGATAGCAAGACCGCATTTTTCTCAACAGGTTTGAAAACTGCCCCCACCTCATTATCTAGAACCCATTTCATTTCCCTGTGATAGTTTAGCTCTTCAAAAAAAGCTGCCTTTCACAGACAGTATGTTTGTATGAACACCGGAGTGGTTATGCCTCTGATCACATTTCCTTTTGTTTCAGCTGTTTAAGCACTCAAAGTCCTAATCTGGTGCAGGTTCATGAGTTTATGAGGCTTATGACATGTACATTGTGGATGTCCATGATATCTGGCTCTATTTTACTGCTCTTGCTGGTACATGACATTACCTCAAATGTCCTCCTTAATATATTCTGACATTTTCATTTATTTTCTTATTGATCCATCAATCCATAACCTATCCATCCCCCATCTAGCCATTCATTCATCTGAAACAATGACCTGGCCTCACAAACTAAATCAGATTCTGAAGGGAGAAAGGCAAGGATAGAATATTTTCAGTTTTTGATTTTAAGGCTTCTAATGTGCAGCAAGGGTTGAGAAAGGCTGATTTAAAGTTTAAATGTTTACCATTCAGTATTTCATGACATTTGGCATTGCAACAAGATGTATTTATAGTTTATACTGAAAGATTAAGGACAGATCTATTTATAAATAATATAGTTAGGTGTCAGTAGAGCATAATATAACTTCTGATTTCTACGGAAATTACAACTAAAAAGTGAAAGAATGCTCTTGCAGAAGAAGAGAGACAGACAAATTCTCATTGGGTCATAGGGCCAGAGAAGACCCCTGTGACATTTATCCAAGTTTCCCCTCATCCTGCTTAGTGCTCTAAGGACAAAGGTCAAGCGTGGCACAGCAGCTGGCTGACAACATACACTCATAAAGTATTTTCTGACTCAGTGAGATGTAATCCAGTGGTGTGATTTACACTAACCATGAAAATTCAGCCATATTTTACATATTCCACTTTAAGCAATAACAAAATACAGAAAATACATAAACTCTCAGACCCTGTTCTGAAAGAGCTGCTTGGCAAATGTTCACCTCCTTAACTGAACTGACGTAAGTTAGTACAATGATGATTGTGCTTATTGCACAGCAAGGGAAACTGAAAGGGGAGGAGAACTCATCCACACTCAGGATCAGTGGAAACATTCTACCGTCCCTGTCACAGAATCTCTAGTGAATTCATGGCAAACATTCAACATTCAAAATATTCCCAAGTTAAAAACAATTTTGGTTAAAAACTGAAGGTGTTAAATTTTAGTTTGCTATAAAAGACCATAAAATACTATCTGAGCAAGAAAAACGCCTTTGACAATGAGTCAGGCCAATTTTCCATGGGAAGTCCAGTGAAAAAATAAAAACTATAAAAACGTACATTTCAGAAATAAATCTGGTTTTGCTTAAGTGCACCTGACAGGAAGAAATTAACATTTAAATTAATGAACTAACAAATGGTAGCTCTGATGCCATCATGGTCAGATCAGACATGAGCCTGCCCCACTGTGTGATTCCTCTCCCCGCAGTAGTCGCTGTCCAGATGCTGGCTCTGCTGTGCTCCTCAGCTTCTCTACTTGACTTCTGCCACTGACTCAGATCTGAGATAACTCATATGAGGGCAACTGGCTATATCATATCCCAAGAGATATGAGTCAAAAGAGGAGATAAAAACAAGACACCATGCAGATGAGAAAAAAGAAAATACATCAATAGAAGGTAGGTTTTTTTCCCCACTGCAATCAGATTCTCTTATATTTCCAAGGTAAAATTATTAGTATAGATAAAATTCTCCTACACTGAGAAAAACTACAAGGAGGCACTTCTAGTGTGTGCACACCACCAGGTCCCAGTGATGGTCTGGAGTCTTTTTCCAGGTTTAAGAGTTAGCATCCTTGGCACTCCCTCCTGGGCATCTTAAACTTGTAGAATGCACACTTCCTAGTTTGTTTCCTTTTTCTTCTCAGCTCAAATAAATGGTCACTGCTGATATGAATCATTATGGAGATGGTCAGCAGTAAACAGCTAAACAGTTACGGTGGAACACAGCCATCCTAATCTGTAAACTGCTTACCTCCAGATAGCTGGTTCCACTGAATCTCTGCACAACCTCAAAGAAACCTCACTTAGTTTGCCTTCTTGATAATGATACTATAAGATATTTGCTTTAAAATTGTATTGGACTGCTACCCCTTGATACAATTTCTTGAAATACCTACTTAAACTACCTACCAAGAGGAGAAAGACACAAAGAGACAAGACACTGATGGAGGGAAGCAACCCAAGTACTCGAAGATCTCTCAGTTTTATTCAGTACATGAACAACTGAAAGACACTTTTAGGCGCATTTAAGAACATGTGTCCCTCTGGTTACTTGTGGGAAAATTATGGTCTAAGTACTCTACCTAGCAGAAAATTTCAATCAATATTAAAAGTCAAATATGAGAAAAATGTTAATGATGTGTAATGAAACTAGCAAAGCTTATTGTTAAATAAAATAATTGCTTTTAGAGATTAAACTTGATATCAATATTAAAATATAATATTTATGGATAAACTGATCATACAATAATATTATACTTATAATCACCTGGGTAATAAGTCACACATTATTTAATAAAAACTGCTGATGGTAGAAGTGAGTAAAAGTTGTGAATTTCTCTGCAAATAGTATCATTATATACTATTCCATATTTAAATTTATAGAGAATTTAAATTCAATTTAAAAAATTTTGAAGTTAATTTCTATTAAAAATCAGAGGTCTTGGCCCAGAATATAGCTCAGCGGCATAAGCATCTGGACTGCAAGTGCAAGGTCTTGAGTTTAATTCCCGGTGCCAAAAACAAAAGCCAAACAAACAAAAATAAGAGGTATTAGATGAGATCATAAGCGAAGTTAAAGGCCTATGACGGATGAGGGTAGGGTAGAAATTGTCAGATATTTTGACAACTGAAGAATTATCCCCAATATATAAAAACTATTATGAATCAATAAGAAGAATGTAAACCTATAATGGCAAAAAGTAAAGGGGGAAATAGTAAGGAGAAATGGGTATTCTCACTATGCTTCCAACTGGGAGAGAAAATTGGTTTTTAAAAAATATCCAGAAAGAAATTTGACAACATCTATCAAGAACTGTAGAAATTTTCATCTATTTTCACAGAGGAATTCCATATCTAGGAATTTATTCCAGGTAAATAATCTGGAGTAAACGCAAAGGCGTTTGAACTTGTATGCTCACAGTAACGTTATATGTAATAATTCATTGGAAATCTAATGACCAGCAATGACTATGGTATTAGTTGTACAATGTGCATTTATATTAGAATATTCAGCATCAGGAGAAAACACTCGTAATACAAAAAAGAATACAAGCCAGTGTTGTATTATGGTCCAAATTTCCTCAAAACAGAAAACTTTTATTTATATACAAAGTTAAGTAAATTAAAAAGCATGACTTTAGAATTTTAACAATGATTCTATATGGCTGAAGAGGTCCTGAATGATTTTTGTTCTCTTCTTTTTATAAATACGTTTCATATTTCAGCATTTATGACCTAAATACATACTATTTTTATGCCAGAAAATAAATATTAAGAAGTTTTAAATACTAAATGGAAATTGACAAGTGTAGATCAGATTTACAAACTGCTACACATCTTTGGTTGGGAATAATAATATTTAAGCTCTAGACACTATTAAATATAGATTTCATCTTTCTTAACTATGGATTCTGGTTTATGTAGCTTTGTAAACCAGACTGGCCAATAAAACCAACTCTTTAGACACAATCCTATCTCGTCACTCTAATAACGATTATGTTGAGATGCCTTGTAGAGGGAAGGTGTTCTTGAAATCAGAGTCTTCTGGTGGGAAAAAAAACAACTAGAAAATCATCCTGATATTATCTAATTAAACTAACCATCACCAAAAAAAAAAAAAAAAAAAAAAAAAGAATGCAAACTGTATTTCTCCTTAACATTAGTCAACCAGTCAACAGTAGTATTCAGGAGAATATGTTATAAAATGTTTGTTTCAGTTGGTATTCTTACCATCAGAATCTTAACTTTGCTCTACAACTGCTAGCATTCTCTTCTATAGTGTTTGAATAACAGCCACCAATTATTCAGCCATCAGCCATGAGCGGGTCTGTTCTTAGTGCTTTTCATATTATTTCTACCCATTGCATCAACACTGTAATGTGTAATATCATCCCCAGAATTGAGCCACAGAGAACCTAGGTAAGTCTGCCCAAAGACATCTCACAAGTTGCGAATTCATTTCTTCCTTCCACCACTAACTAAAATTTCCCTTGATAACTAAACTATTGTTCCACAAAATACCCAAATCACATGCTCTAGAGCTTGGCTCACCTCCTCTTTCCTTGTTCCTATTTCCAATACCTCTTTCAGGTCAATCCCAGGCATCCTTTAAGCCCTGGCTACAAGCTCAGGCCTTTTACAGTTATAAAATTGTTTAAGAGTATCTTTATCTGCATACCTAATACATGTTAAAACTATGAGCCCTTTACCTGTCCTTTTTTTGTTTGTTTGTTTGTTTTTTGGTTTTTCTCCGGTACCGGGAACCGAACTCACGACCTTGCGCTTGCCAGGCAGGCACTTTGCCGCTGAGCTAAATTCCCAGCCCCTTTACCTGCCCTTTTTAAAGGGTCAGTTTTCCTAAGGAAAGCAGCCACCTAATGTCTCTCCAGGTGATTAGTTTCAGAAGAATTTTAGTAAGCCAGATAACTACAAGCAAATTATTTTGAAGTACCTCTTTAAATTTCGTGTTGTCAGGAATTTGATATTCAAGTGTAATGAACGTAATTGATTATGAGAGAGTGCTTCTTTTGAAATGACGCAGTAGCCACCATCACTACTTGCAATGCCTGCCAACAGGGAGGATTGAAATGCTTAAAGAATTTGAATGGGCTATGAAAGGGTGCACTTAAAAAACGGAAGAGGTGTCTGCTTCCTCCGTAGCTCAGGGTGCAACATCTGTACCAAGATGATAAGGGTCCAATTATGTTCTAAAAAAACACCATCAATGCAAACCTTTGCTTCAGCTAAAGTGAGCAACTGCTTGGACAGGATTCTGTGGGTAAGTCACAGTTTTTCCTTTGAATTTCTGCAATGTGAAGCTGCTTCTCTTCTACACTAGAAGCAGACTCTCTAACCCTGAAGTACTGGGCACCAAGACTGTCAGAGCACTTCCGCTGCTAAGATTGGAATGTGTCTCCTACATTTCACGTTTGAAAATGTAGCCCCCAAGTTTATATGCTGACTGGAGGGTGGAACTTTCCCAAAGACATTAGTGGCTTTCTAGGAAGCAAACACACTTGCTCATCTACCCTGTGATGTCCTCCATCATGCAATAAAAAGGCCCTCACCAGATGCTGACAAGGTGTTCTTAGACTTCCCAGCCTCCAGAACTGTGAGGCGAATACACCCTTATTCTTTATAATTATCCAGCATCAGGTATTTTGTCATATCAATGTAAAATGGTTTGAGACATTCACCAGTCTACTCTTTGTCTTGAAACAGGGCCTCCCTACATAGTCCAGGCTGGCATCAAGCTCACAATCATTTGAGATTACAGGGGTGTGCCACCATGTTCCACCTCTGCCCTTCTTTTTATATGTTTGTTACACTGGGAGAATACAAGTGCCATTGCTGAGTTTGGAGATGAAGTCCTGCTTGACTGCTCTGAAGGCCAAGGGCTCAGGGCTGGTGGGTGCTGCTGACAAATACAAAGCCTTTGCTAAACTACTTTTCCTTTGTATGAAACCCTGTAATGAAGTCCTTCCTCCTCTGTCACAGTACTGTGAACCCTGAGGATAGGGATGTCTGCTACTCATCTATGTACCTGTACACTAGACATGGAACCTAGCAAATAGTAGGCACACAATGCTTGTTAGCAAAACTGACTGCCAAGTGCATGGGATCAATCCCTGCCCTGACCTCCAAGAATACCTATTTCCGTGTCTTTCCCTGAAATCAGGCTTTAAAGCTATACACCCATTTCAAGTTTGTGTTGTTACCTTGTACATAGAGCCTCCTCTCTAAAAAATGCTTATCACAAAGCGCATGCTGACCATGAAGTATGTGCTCAGTAACAAAAATGCAGATGTGAACAAATGAATTTAAGCTTCCAAAAAACACCAAGACTTCTATCTTTTTTCTGTGCATAATATCATGAGCCATAACTTTTCTGGTTTAAATTTTGATAATGTTAGCTTTAGGGAATTTCTGTTTACTTGTAAGTTGTATCATCTCATAAAAGTGGTTGTATCATCACAGCAATGAGTGAAGGGAAATTGTGAAGACAAAGATAAAAATTTAATTAGGAAAATGAAAGCTCTTATATCCCAGCATAATAGCTACGGTGGCTTTTAGTGGGCTTTACTGAGGTAAAAGAAGAAATAAAATCTCACAGTTGTATGACCTGACATGAAATGAGAATGACCAGATGGTCCAGAAACCCAAAAATAGTAATACTCATCACTTGTAGAATCTTCACAGCAGGAAAAGGGGTTTAGTCACATCACACAAAGGCAATGATGTCAGGAGGTTGGGAGGTCTGACTCTTTTTCCCACACACTCAGTGTCAGACATAATGAGGATCAAAAGTTGAGATTATAATATTTGGTGAATTTCAGGAGCCTGGACAATTGTGCTTTATTTGCAACAACTATGCATGTGGGAAGGCAACCCCTTACTCTATGAGCAACTGCTAAGTTGGTTTGAACAGGTGTCATGAAAGATTGTTCCCCAAAGCACGTTACCTTTGGGCACCTTGGCTCTCCATCTCTCCCGATTGATGTGCACCACCTCTGTCCAAGTGGCTTTAAAGCCCTTACAGTCAACAGGGATGACAGAATTATTGATGGGGGCACTTCCTTCTGACCCAGAGCTCTTGACGCCTGATCGCTTTGCATCTGATGAGCTGATGTTGTTCAAACTAAAGGACACAAAAGAATTATACCGAAAAGGAGCATTAGTGTTTAAAACTCTATGCAGTGAGCATGCCCAAGAGAAGAGCAACTAGTACTCAGACTCATTGTCATAAAATTTCCAGGTCATGAGATTTGCAATCATTGTATTTTCTATATGTGACAGGTGAGACAGTCTAAATTTCTAGCAGGGAAAATATCAGTATGATCTTCAATGTTTCTAATTTTCTCCTCTGCTGATTGGTCTTTTCTTTTTTTCCCCAATAATGAAAATTCCCTTACACGCATTTTCTCTGTTCATGGAAACAAATTAATTTGAACTTGGACTTCTCACTCCATAGTTCACCCACATGCTTCTACACTGACCACTTTTTCACTTTGGCCCTTTTCCCCTCCAACTCTCTCCTTCTTCTGGGCTCAGGATCTTTTTTGACCCTGGTTCCCTAAATAAAGGAGAAGGGATAATATCCTTATGTTGCTTGGAGAAGGTGAAGAGATATAGAAAGCTTATAGACTTTGCACTTGGTCACACAAATGACCCTATTTTAAGTGAATAGGACCTTAAGCATTAAACATAGGTGATTTTACAAAGTCAGAAAGTACTATCCTTCTAACAAAGTATCTCATGCCCTAAGTTCACTGACTTAATACAAACCACTAAGTAATGATAGAGGTTGACAGGCTAAGCGGAGAATTTCAGCCAGTGCTTAAGGAGCGATGGGACTCTGAAGCTTGGGGCAGGGGCTTCTGTCCTCTCTGTTAGCATTCTTAACAGGGTCCATCCATCCTGAGCATCTCAGGATCCCACTGTCTTAACCTTTCTCTTAGCTTTCCCTCTCCGTTTACTTTTTTTCTGTTCTCTTCTTTTTTCTGTTCATTCTCATTTATGATGAAGCCTAAGTTTGGCCTGGAGGAGGAAAGGCATCATCGTAGTAGAAGTAGCAGCAGTAATCATAGGAATAGTGGTGGCAGAGTAACGGTGGTAGCAGTGGTGGTAGTAATAGGAGTGGCGGTAATATTAGTAGTTGTAGCAGTAGCGGCACAGTCAGTAAAGACTAACTGGCAGCTTTATTGTTGCTAGCAGTTCCTATGTGCTAGAACCTGTACACACACACACACACACACACACACACACTCTCTCACACACAACTCATTTGATTTTTCCAGCAAACTATGAGAATTATAATCCACATTTTCTCAGATGAGGAAATTAAGGTGACTGAACACATTCTGGTTTTTAATTTCTGTACTTAATTCTCTTCCTGAATGTAGACATTAAAGTCAGTTTTATTTCTTGTAATTAAGATGTGTTATGTACAAGAACTCCCCACAATAAATGTAATTATTATATACTGAAAATATGTGCTTATAAAAACTTTTTAAAAGGAACAAAGAATAAGCAGTCAAAAAAAAAAAACCACTGATGGGAGATGGAAAGGGGGTTCATCAGTTTTCTGTAACTGTGACAAAAATATATGAGAATAGTAACTTCAAAAAATACCCTTGATCAGTGTTACTGTCTTGGAACAGTGGGTGAAGGCACAGCAATCACTGCTGTTGGTAAAAGCTGGGGGAGGAAGGGGCAACAGGGACCTGCTAGTCCTAATTTGGAACTTGGTCACCCCTTATATGGCAGCCTGGAGGGCCCACACAGTACAATTTCTTTTTTTTTTTTTTGGTTTTTCTCCAGTACCAGGAACTGAACTCACAACCTTGCGCTTGCCAGGCAGGCGCTTTGCCGCTGAGCTAAATCCCCAGACCCCCACACAGTACAATTTCAATTCCTCTGAGAAAAGGCAAGAGGCAGAGAGAGCCCATATAAGAAGGAAGTAAGGCAGGCATTGTTATGAAATCCCACCACCATCCTCAGGAAAACTATCCACATACGCAGACTGGACATTAGCCCCCTGTACTCTTCACTGACCTAGATCGCCTCTGTCCTGTTCCAGCAGTCTGGGAGGTTTCGTCGATTAATGGACTCACGATCTTTTCAGTCATGTCTGTGAGCACAGTGAAGGTGGGCTCCACGATGAAATCAATGAAGCCTGTGGAGAGACAGCAGTGCCTTAGAGGAGCTCCAGGGGACCTGGAGCCGTTTCATATTTTCCAGTGGAAACAGAAGTGTGTTTCCTGTCTTTAAAAATGTTCATCTACACAGGAGCTCCAGATCTGTTTAGCAGTGGATTGGTCTTACTTATTTCATATATTCCTTGGATGTCATAAGTCAGTTCCATTTTTAATACTTAATCATTTTATGCTTTTTAATACATAATTCAGTGAACTGCTTAAAAACACATATTCAACACCCGCTGCGTAATAAGCACTGTGATAGGAATTACATAAAAGACTAAGATGAACAACAAAACCTGCCTGCCCTTGAGGAGTTTATATGGTTAAATGAGCACAAGAATGACCTGTCGGAGTGTACGGAGAGTCAAAGGAAAAGCCTAGATGCAGGCTCCTGGGAAGGGAGGGGGCACTTTTCCTTTCCTCAGAAAGCCCTGGGAGCAGCTTCATGGACTTGTGATGTTTGAGCTGAGCCTTCAGGAATGGTTTTGGAGAGGAAGCTGTGACCATAATTTGGGGTGCAGAGGGGTGGAACAGGTAAGGCAGCAGACGTGAGAAAGAGTGAAGGAGGCGTAAGACAGATGACTGGCCTTAGGAACTGTGGGACTTAGGGAAAGAAAGCTTGGGAAAGCAGGTCATCAACACTGCAGGGACAGAGGGTCCTTGGGGGCTGGGACTTGAAGGACACTAGAAGCCTTTGAATATGTTTGGGCATCAAAGTAGCAAGATTTTTCAAACATTCTTTGGAAAAGTTAATGGGTCAGGATGGATGAGAAGGGAGGGAATAGGAAAGGCTGAGGATGGGAAAATCATGACCAGAGCTACTACAATAGCTCAAACAGAAGAAAAGTGGGAACCAGAGCCACTGCAAGGTGGGAAATGAAGGAAGCACAAGTGCTTGCCCTGCAAGAGGTGGGACTACCTCTGTGAGATCCATCCAAGATGCTCCAGCAACGAAGCGGCGACTACAGGGCACTGGGAGGAGTAAGAGGATGGGCTTCCATCTGCGGAGGTACGGGACACACTGGGTTAAGACAGGCAAACAACTGAAGGAAAAGCACTAGAACCTGGGAGGGCAGGAACCTGCTACAACCAGAGTTGTACCTCTGCAAAGTCACTGCACTGGACAGGTAGCTGAAGGTAGGATAGAATGATGATCTCAACAGTGGAGCCCCCAAGTGCTCTGCAGCACAACAGTTGAAAATATTTGAGCAGGGATAACATGGATGGTGGCAATCTGGTATGAATGAGAGTTGGCAGGAAACTAAACACCAACCAAAGGAAATACTGCCCATCCCCCTCTGAGGTGGGTATGTGGAAATGTAGATTGATTGTTGCAATGCCTGAGGAGGGGGCAATAGTGAAGGATGATAAAAGATTCACAAGTAATTAATAAAACAAGAACTGAACCAATCACACAACCACTGGTTGAACCAACCAACCACACACACACACACACACACACACACACACTCACACACACATATATTCTTACAAGGAAACACTGATGATAGCCAAATTTGTATTATTATTAACTGCAGCAGAATTTTGACCTCAAAATAACATATTCGATGATATAATTTTCACCCTTCCCCAAACAAAACTCCCCATGTCCAAACCAGAACTACCTCATCAGCATTTCCCCCAGTGCTTGTGGATGGGATAACGATCTAACCACTTTGAATTTTGCCTTTCCATAAGCTTTGTATGTATCCAAATCCCTTCCACCTTATATCCCATCTCTCTTCTGGAGAGTTCCTGCTCCCACCTCAGTTCTGCTGTTCATTGTTTCTGCCCTGAAGCCCTATAGGAAGCATCCAACTGGTTTCCTCAAAACCAGTCTCTCTCAAAACCTTCCACTTAATCCTCCAGGCTACTGCCAGAGAAAAGTTTATAAAACAAGGAAGGGTAAGCAAACTTTTTCTGCAAAAGACCAAATGGCTAGTTAGTCTTTGTAGGCTGTATCATTTGTATTAAAACCAGTCAACCCTGCTAATCATAGAGCCAAGGGGGCCACTGATAGTAAATAGATAAATGGGCCCAGTAGTGTTATGATAAAACTTTATTCATAAGAACAGGTGGTGAGTCAGATTTAGCCCACGGGCTAAAATATGAATTTATGCATTTTAAGCTTTACATAAAATTATTTAGATATGTTCTTATTTCTTATTGGAAAGGATATGCATGTGCTATTCTTAGCACAATATAAAATGTGGACTTGATCTTCCCCTCCAGACACGTCTCTTCCTGCATCCACTCCCTGTCCACAGCTCCTGCCATATGGAGCTATTAAAAATTCACTGGCTGTGCAAGGCAAGTTTTAATTTCTCCCCCTTGTGCATGCTATATGCCTGGCCTGGAATGCCTTTCTACTCATCCCCAACTCAACTCCTACATGCATCATTTTGTCTAAAGCAATGCCTGGTTACTTCTTAGACTGCAACTCAAATATTACCCCTCAATAAGTCTTTGTGGAGAACGAGGGACTAACAGACTACACATTCTGTTCCGTATTCTATTGTACTATCTTCCAAGTTCTACCTTAAAACCAGATTTTTGTTTCCATAACATCTTGCCTACTACCCATACCAATTTAATGTCTTTGAAAGCAGGTACCATTTATAATTTGCCTTTGTCTTTAACATCTACTTTAATGCTTACCAGTGCCCAACATTTAAAGGGGATTCAAAATATAAAGAAACAAGCACTCAAAATAGATATAGAATAATCAGTGAATCCTTTTAAATTTATTTTTGAATGATTTCAGATTCTTCAGAGGTGTATGTGTGGCCCTGGTACCCTTTCCCACACCTGAGGATTTCTGCCATGCTAAATATTGGTGACCAGCAATACAAAAATTATCTTTATGAAAATAAGTGCTTAGAAAGCAGGAGAGGGAGGAAGAAAAGGGGGAAAGGAGGAAAGAAATCAGAAAGGGAACATTTTAAAAGAAGTAGGGTCATCCAGAAAATGGGACTGCCTGCACACAGGCTGAGAAGAAACAACCATGATGAGAAATGCCATGGCAGTTCTCAGTAATACACGTAAGATGAGGAGCCCAAAGCAGAAGGCGCCTCCTGGAAATGATACTTGTCATCTCCTTGTAAACTTGAAGCCTCTTTTACTGTCTGCAGGTTAAGACAGAAACACCAGAGTATCCCCAGGAAGCAGCTACATTCTAGAGACGAGCATAAAGCGGCTACATCATCCTAAGCAGCTAACACCCTGAGCGCAGCATGGCAGTGGAGCTGGTGACTCTTTCCCCAGCCGAAGAATTGCTGAGAGCATCTGAGTTTCCTTTTACAACTTCTCATCCGGTGCTTCCTTCCATTCGGTGGCTGGCAAACACATACCTACTTGAGACTGAGCGACCATGGTGGACTTTCTGTCACACAGAGGAGAAAAAGGCAGCCCCAGCTCCGCTTCTCTATCACCCTAGAAAGACAGAAGACCACGGTAAATTTAAAAATAGCAGGCTGAGCCACTCAGATTTTATTTACAACTTCAGCTGCCACTTAGGCCAATGGTCTTTATTTTAATTATTACAATTACATTATATAACATGTCCTTATGGGGCCTGCTCCTCTGCATAAAAGATTCCAGGAGGCCGAGCCCTCTGGGGTGCAATCATTCCATCCAATGCAAAGGCTCATGCTGTTGTGGACAAAGCCGCACCAGGTAGGAATAGAGTCTCTGTGGAAGAAGAGGCAGCAGACCATGTGTTCTATGGTTTGCAGCCAGCACTGTAATCAGAATTGCTGCACCTTCCCAAGTTTTCCTCTGTCTACCTGTGACCTTTCTGTGGCCACTGAACCCTTCCCAGCTATGGGTAGTAGCCAAATCTAAAATTAAAACTGGATTGATTTGGCTTTGTGTCCTAAAGCTGCTTGAAGCCACATAAAACTGGAGTATTTCTTTGTTCTTAGCCCCAGGACTCAGTCCTCAGTGAAAAGTAGAATAGAATGAACCAGAAAGGCTGGGCATGGTGGGGCCATGTCCGTAATCCTAGTACCCTGTGAGGCTGAGACAGAAAGGTCACAGCCCAGCCTGGGAAACTGACAGACTTGGTGAGACTCTGTTTTTAAATAAAAAATAAAAAAGGTTTAGGGGGTGTGGCTCAGGGTATAGGTCCTGAGTTCAATCTCCAATTTAAAAAATTTAAATCAGGCATGGTGGTGCATGCCTGTAACCCCAGCACTCGGGAGGCTGAGGCAGGAGGATCCTTTTGAGTTCAAAACCAGCCTGGGCTATATAAAGTGAGCTCAAGGCCAGCCTGAACAGTACAATGAGACCCTGTCTCAAAAAGATGAAAAAAAATTTTAAAAATAAAAACTTTAAAAAGAAGTTAGGCAGGAATAAATAAAATAATATATTCTGACCAATATATTCTCAGTCTTCCCCAAAGCATCAGTGAAATAAAGACTATAAATAAGTACTACAGAAAGCCTGTTGATGGGGATATTAATTACCTAATTCATTCATTCATTTATTTATACTTTGTAGTACTGGAAAGTGAACCCAGGGACTGCATTTCTAATGCCCTTTATTTATTTTTTATTATTCTCAATTTTTGTCTTTCTCAAGGACATGTTTTCAGTGCACGATATTTACATTCCTTGCGGGGAGTTGCTGCATGGACATAATAGATTTTAATTCTTTTTACACCCCTTCCCCTCCCCTCCCTCACCCCTCTCTCCATCCCTTGGTCCCCTTCCCGTTTGCTAAGACCCATTTCCCTATCTCCGGTTATCTTTTATTGTGCTCTTTATTTATATTTTGAGTTTCTCATGGAGAAGAAACCATGAAATACTTAAGCTTGCATGTCTGATTTATTTCACTAAACTTGAGTTTGAGACGAGATCTCACTAAGTTGCCCAGATGGGACTTAAGCTTTCCAACTGCTGCCCCGCCTCCCCGAGTGCTGGGGCTACAGGTGTGTGTAGCACGCCTGGCTGATGGACACGCTTTTTACAAACATGAAGCAGAAGCTCAGGACTTCAGCCACCCCTGCAGAAAGGGGGAAGATAAGTGACTCTTCCGCTTTGTGTGAAGCCCTGCTTTCATTTCACCAAGAAAGAACTTGCAAGGCACAGTAACTGAGACTTATGCTTGAGTCCTGCTTTTCTCCTGATTGCTGTGTGATCCCAGTAAGGTGACTGTCCCTTCCTATGTCTCTGTTTTGTCACCTCTTAAATATGAGATAATAACCCCTACAAACTACGGCTATCATGAGGATGAAATGGGAAAATTTGCATAAGTTAATTTTAAAAAGAGAACGATTAAGAGAACTATCACTGTTCCCAAACAGGCAACTATTGCAGTCAGATTTGAAAATTAAAGGTCAGATTTGAAAATTATTCAGTGATTTTTGTTTCACTTAATATACTCTAATTATAATAAATATTGCCAGTAAGTTAGTAGAAGATAAAAGGTTATAACAAGCTCCCATGAGGCCTAGTGAAAAGAATGGAAAGCTGTTTCTTTTTAAAGCACATTACCAAGAATGAAGAAAGCAGCTCACATGTGCACAAAGTCCACTGAAAGGACAGAAAAGGAGGGGCATCTGAGGAGGCTGAGCAGAAGGTCAGATGGGAGATGGGGATGTTCGAGGGCTTCAGGAACAGTACTGAAGTAGCTCCATCCTTTCTATACCCTTCTCCAGTACAGACACCCACACCATGGGACACTGGGCTTCTCTGATCCCAAGTATGTGCTGATAAGAACCACTCTATTTCTTAAATAGCATGAGGAAAATAACTTCCTTTTGAGCTATTTCCAACAGGGCAGTAGGAAGACATAGAAGAATATTTTTGATATAAATTCTAGTATTCTAGATAATTTATTTTGGGATAGATCAGCTACAACAATGAAAGCCTTTTTTTGTCTTCTATGTGACAGGGACACAAGTTGCTTTGTTGGTACATTTTAAGGGGGCAGGTTGAGAAGTGATGAACAGTCATTACTTGACTGTTATACTAAGGTATAAGCATGAATTTGGGGCCAGGGATATAGCTCAGTGGCACAAGCGCCTGCCTGGCAAGCATAAGGTCTTGAGTTTGATTCCCAGTACACCCACCCACAAAAACAGCGTTAGTTTGGATTTTATTATTGAAAAGTTGCATGGTATTAAACAACTTCTAAATCCACAAATTTGCCCATACTCAAAGCTATATATCATGTACACTTTCTGTATTTAATTGAGCTGAGCAAACTCAGCTATTAAAACCCCATTTTAAAATAGCAGTCACTGAATTCCCTTTGGAATACAGATACATTTATGAGTTGAAAAAAATGTGCCATAAGTTATTTGGAGGAATGGACATTTGTTGGTGAATCTAACTTGGCAGGTCACACAGTCTATCTACTAAGGCTTCACAGCTACGGGTCCTTGTGGAATTATTCAGACACACTTGTCTTTATTGAAGAGATCAACATTTTCAAAACGTTTTGGTTGTTACAAAGGAGTTTTAAACTAAATCATTTTTTTCTTGCAAGACAGTTCAGAAAAATAACTACCATTCCAGTGGTGGGTGTGAAGATAGCTCCAATAAGTCACATGGTAGGTATGAAGAAGGGAGATAATGCATATTTGCTGAGTCAGTGAAAAGACTAATTTGTTTAGAAACACTCAAGTTCCTTCGGCCATCCTGGCATTTATGACAGGCAAATTAGAGAGAAGGGAGCTATTCACTGAACTCCCAAATTTCTCCTTCACCTCCAGTTCACACAACAGGTCTACACTGCCTTGACTCTCTTCTAGTTAGGTAATAATACAGCAAGAAAAGAAAGTTGTGTTACATCCAGTTTGCACGTATTGAACCTCCTGTAACTTCTACCTCTCTATGCTCTTCCTCCCTTTACTGGCTTCATGCAGACAAGCACTTTTGGAAGTGTTACAGGCAGTTGTCTCTGCTTATCAAAGAACCTGCCACTGGTCAAGAGATACGTACTTGCTCTGTAGTTTACACAAGTGTGATAAACTTCCGTTCATGTGTACTGTTATATATTTTTAAGTTTATTTGTTACTTCAGTTATATGTAAACAAAAAGCATTTCAAAAGAAAAAAGTTCCTCCTGAATTGGAACTTCACAGGGAAAATGGCATTTATCAATATGAAATCATCAAAAGGCTTGCATGTAATATTTCAAGTGGGTCCTTCCTAGTGGAATGAAGGAAAAGTAATGTCAGGAGTCAACAAAAAAATCAAGCTGAGCAAAAGGCAGCAATGTACACTCTCTTTCTCCTGCCAAAGAAAGTAGAAATATAATGTATGAGAAAAGCTTTGGGAATTTGATAAAAGACGGCACAGTAGGTTTCAGACGTACTTTTCAGAAGCCATGACCTCAAAATTAAGGAGAATGAGAAAAACAGAAATGCAAACATGAACACAAGGAAAAAAATCTGTGGTCTAAATGAGAACTATATGTGGAAGGGTTGCCAAATACTGTAAAAAAGAAGGATAAGGAAAGATGCTATGAGGCTGAGTACAGGATAGATTAAATCACAATCAACTGTACAACTGCTGCCCACTGTTATTTTGGAAAAAGTAATGGCTAACACACACACACACACACACACACACACACACACAATCACAATCACTTCTAAGGAGCCACATAACACACTAGGGATAGTCCTACCTAGACTAGAATACTACTGCCCTGGTGTGTCCATGGTACAAATCTTCTGTAAATAGCTGGTTCAAAACCAACATATTTCACTCAAAAGATGGTTAATGATAATAAAATGAGAAGGAAGGAGGGACAGGAGAGGAGAAGGAATAGCATAAAGAGAAAAGGAAAGAGGAAAAGAAAGAAAAGTAAGCGAAAGTGAGGATAAGGATGACAAGGAGAAGAAAAGATGAAAAAGAAGAAAAGGAAGAAGGAAGTAAAAGAGGAGAAGAAAGAGCTACCAGCAGCAAACAAAAATAAAACAAAAAAATAGAAAAAAAGTAGAACTAAAAATGTGAGAAGGTACCTCAAACAGGGGAAAACAGGCTAACTCAGTGATTGAGCACTTGGTTAGCATGTGCAAGGTTCTGGTTCAGTCTCAAGAATGAAAGGAAGAAATGGAGGCAGGAAAGAAAAAAGGGATGGAGGAAGGGAAAGAATTAGGGAGCAATTCAGGAACGGAAGTCTGAGTGTGTGCGTGTGTGTGTGTGTGTGTGTGTGTGTATCAGAAACATGGTGTCACCAAGTAATGACCACATTTATTTTTATGAACAGAAAGAAATTCTTTAAATTATCCAAAACAAGCTCAGAAGACCAAGTGCTAATGGAGCACAGGACAGTTGTAGCAAAGATAGATAATGTCATGGCATTAATGAAGACTGCACTGGAAGCGGTACAAAGACCTGTTCTGATGAAAATGTTTGAGGGACATGGAGGTCAGGAGTGGAAAAGCAGACCACCCAAAGGGCTAGAAAATTCTAAGAGAAAGAAGACAGACAATCTATGAATAGCTGTTTGCCCTAGTAATATAACTAAACAAGTAGAAAATGAAGACACTAAATGATTCTATCAATGTAAGTTGAATCTGTAGAGGAAAACAGCACACCATGTGCCAAGAAAAGCTCATACAGAACAGTAACTACTGTCTCTGGGCTGCTGAAGAAAAGAAATAATCCTTATTATATATATTGAATTTGCACAACAAAAATTTTTTTGAAAAATAAATAATCTTTAGGCCACAAAAGTGAAAAAATCATCACTTATGCATGGAAATAATTCCTTCCTGGCTTCAATCTCTTTATAGCCACATTCAAGTACGGAAGACATGTGAGTGATAGTGAAAACGATTTTAAGGAAAGATTGATCCCAAAACATCAGACCCAAACAAACTTGGCCCAGGTATAACAGGAACAGAAGACCTGCAATCATACAAATGTGGTTTCCATCAGTGCTTCTAGAAGAAACCATTTAGTCAAAGTGCCCAAACTAAATAGGGCCAGGACAAGAACTATTGGAGAATTATGCCTTTTATTGAGTCACATTGTTTCAGGTTGTTTCTGTAAACAACATGTAGTACATAAAATAGAATACTTGTTTAAAAACTTAGGAAAACTTAGGAATAATATAACCAACAAATAGTAACAAGGAGTTAGTTACTTTATAAAAAAGGGGGGGGAAGGTATTGAGAGGCAAGGCATAACTGGCCTCTATATCTTTTATAATTACAGCAAAAATATATCATTTAAGTCTGGTATATAAAGTAATAGCACTATATTTAAATAATCAAGGTACAAACCAGAAAAACTAAGTCAGTAATAATCATTTAAATTGGGTGTTGGGGAGGAGATGGGGTAAGTGAATGTTTACTAATTTTTATCAGAGGGAGACACTGAATACTATCTAAACACACAGAGGATTTAGTTGTCATTAATATGTTAATTACTAGAAGAACTAAAAAGAAAGATGAACTTGAGTCATTTGTAAGAAAATAGATGTACCTTGAAACCATAATGGCAAGTGAAATAAATGAGACACAAGCTTAAATATCACACGGTTTCTCTTACATGAGAAATTCAAACTACAAATAAAGAGCAAAAAAAAAAAAGATAAAAGTAGGGAGATAGATCTTTCTCAGATGGGAAGGTGATCAGGAGATGGAGGAAAGGGAAGAAGGGAAGAGTGGGGGAAGGGATGAAAAAGGGAATTAAGATGCACTGCATACATGTATCAACTTCCTGCAAAGAATGGAAACACTATCTACTCCAAACATATTGATAAAAATGCCATTTATTATTTAAATAAAAATATAAAACTTACAGATCACAAGAAATTTATAGTAAAGGAGATGGCAGAGATAATATAGTGACCTACTTTTAAAAAACACATACAAATATATATATAGTATATATATATATATAAATACTATATATATTTAAAAACACATGCAAATATATATATCTTTAAATAATAAAAGAATCTTAGACTGACTTATTTAAAAATTCGATTATATATGGTGTTTAAAACATACCCAAGTCAAAGTGTGTCTGAAAGGTTAAGAATCAAAAGGTATATAAAGACAGGGTTAAATTCTTAATATGAGACATATTTTAATTCTAGGAAAAGCATTAAAAGAGACAAACGTGTGGGGTTTATACTAATAGGGACAATAAACTGTAAAAATCTAAGAACCAAATAACAGTCAGAATTTAAGATGCAGAAATTAAAGTGCATTAAAAAAATAATAAAAATATCTGTCATAATACCTCAGAATTTTAAAAGTGATGTATAATGACATTATAAGAAGGTAGATATACCTGATGCTTTAAATCCATACTCTGCAAATAGGAAATAAATCTACTTTTTTTTGATTGGTAAACATTCACAAAAGCTGATTTATAGTAGTTGATACACCAACTTAAAAATAAGCTGCAAGGGGCTGGGGATTTAGCTCAGCTGCATAGCGCCTGCCTGGCAAGTGCAAGGTCATGAGTTCAATTCCTGGTATCGGAAAAAAACAAAACCAAAAAAAAGCTCCAAACAATGAAACGTCTTTGATAAAATTTCAATAAACAAAAATTAATTCCAAAGGAACCAGTGAAAAATTATAAGCAAATCCCTCTATCTGAAGCAACTGTGGACAAAAGAGAAATCAAAACTAAAATTACAGACTACTTAATAAATGATATGATACTACATTAAGAGATTCTCCATAATAAAAAAAAAATGCTTGCTTTACCATTTTTATACAAGCAAAATTAAAAATAAAAGAATTGAGCACCCAATCTGGAGAATTAGAAAAAGAACAAAGTAAACTAAAGTTAATAAAATAAATGAGTTAATAAAATAAAAAGGATATTGAAGGCATTATTAAACAAAAAAGAAACAATAAAGAAATTACCACAGAAATGACCTTCAATACATAAAATAAGTAAAAATGAAGAAATAACCACAGACACAGAAGAATGAGAAAAATTGGCAGAAATATTTGCAAAATATAAAACTACACAGCAATAGAAAGGAAATGAACCATAACACTCGCAACAAGATGCATTTACCAAGAAGGCAAATTTACACTTCTTTAAAGTCAGCTTTTTATTGAAAGGCACCCTGCAGCGCTGGCTTGGGTTTTGTGAAATATGGTTCTTAAACTGAAGATGTAACATACTCTTTTAGCAAAGCAGGGAAATTCTGGTCCATGTGCACGGAGGCTATGCCCTTATTTTGAAATATAACCCAACCTTCCAAATACAATTTTTAAAAAGACTCCACAGTTGCATTGAGATTTCCCATTTGAACTGTCTAATTTAAAATCTACTGTTAAGAGCTAAGGAAACATTTCTCCTACATGGGCTACTCAGTGTGGCTCCTGACATCCTGGTTAAAATATTAAGTCAATAAAAAGAATTTACTGAACTATAATAACTGAAAAATAGTTCCAGTCTAGTGATTCCATTCCCAACAGGCAAAAAAAAAAAAAAAAAAAAAAAACCTTCAATATGGTTATTTTCCTATTGCCTCCAGCACACTTTCATTCAATTCCAGCATATGTGTATGTGCATGCAAACAAGTTTCTTTTATGGAGAGGAAATGTTCACATATTTAAGTAATTCATATTTGCTTTCTCATAATTCATAAAATGAATCGCTTCATGTATTAAATTTATATCAGCTTGGATCTATCCTTTGGCTGCAGACAATATTTCCAGCTGCAAGTATTATTACAAAAGTTGTATCAAAGAAAACATATGACAAAGAGAGTGGATATTGCAGAAAATTTTCTCTTTCCTATTAGTGAAAGAGCTTTTGGGAAAACGGTTCAAAGTAAGCCCTTAGTGAAGGATGCAGGGTGTCCTTGTCTAGACACGCAAGGAGGTCTAGCTCCCTGCCAGCCCTCACGCATACCCTTGGGTTCGCTTTGAGAGCTATAGGAGCCCTAGCAGTGACTTTGCAAGGGAAATAACTGTATGCAGAACAGGCACTTGTTGGTGTATTTGCAGAACAGCTTTGGGGTGCAGGTGTGTGTGTGCTGTGCATGGTGCTCCCTGGACAGAGAGAAGGAGACAGACACGTGGCACTTAATGCTGGAAGGGCCATAAAAATTGGTCCAACTTTACCCTAAATCATGTCCCCTAAAACAAAAAACCAATCACAGATAAAACCATAGGGCACTACAGGATGATTTTACTACCCGTTGGCCACAAACTGGTTGGAAATAAAACTGCAATAAAGGGTCTCTGGCTTTTGTTTATTATGCTGTTAACTCTACTTCAGCTTCATTACCAGCTAACGTGTATAACTCCAGAAGAAACAAAATACATACAGATGTCTTCTACAATTTCTTCACTCAAAAGGGAATCATAAGAATAAAAGTAATGAAAGGAGTAATTCACTTCCAAAAACCTAGTAACCAGTGTGCTATGGTTTGACTGTGGCCTCCAAATTTCACGTGTTAGAAATTTATCCCCACAGCAATATGTTAAAGGCATTTGGAGGCAAAGCCCCTAGGAGGTAATGAGAATTAGATAAAATCAGCACAGTAGGGCTCCCATGACAGTATGAGTGGCTCTATCAGGAGAGGAAGGTAAATCCCCCTTCACAAGTATGCCTGTTTGGTGATGCCCTCCACCATGTTATCACGTGATAAAAAAGCCCTTACCAGATACCAGCCCCATGACCTTAGACTTCCCAACTTCCAGAACCATGATTTAAATAAATCTATATTCTTTACCGATGATCCAGTCTTAGGCATTTTGTTATAGTAACAGAATGTGGAGTTTATCGCTGGTTACTTTAGGCGATGTAGCTGAGCCTCATATTAACTAGTAATTTTTTAAAGCAAAACATACAAAGACAACACAACCTGGAATTTAAGATACAATTAAGCTTAAATACAATTGGAACAATAGTGTCTACTGATTCCTGACTCCTATTCGCCTCACTTAGTTCTGGAATTTTATATCATAGGCATGTTCCCTTGAAAGAAGCAACCCAAACAATTATGATAGATACATGAGTTAGGGATTAACAACTTAATCCCACAAGGCAATGCCAAATAAACAGCATTTTGTCAGCTCATTAGGGGAATACAAAGGAAAAGGGCTCCTTGAATGGCATTTTGACAGAAGAGTACAAGAAGGAGTCACTTTCTTCCAAAGAGAAATGTGTAGAATAGAAATGCATTTTATCATGGTGGAGGATCAAAATTTACATAAGATTCAACAACATATAACTAGAAACAGAAAAATAGCTCTGAAACCCCACTCCCTGAAGAAAATTACTATAATCTCAGCAGTCTCTATCACAGCAGTCTCTAATACAGCAGATCACAGTGGTCTTGACAAACAGCATGGCAAAAAGGTACCTGTCTGAAGAACTCTTCCAGGAGGGACATCGTCCAGCGGTGGTGCAGGTCCCAGGCCTTTGCCGGATGGCTAATGTCTGCTGTGTGCAGCATCAGGGATAAGGCTTTGGGCTTTTCAATCCTGTAAACCCAAGTAACCCAAACACATGGTGACCACAGTCTAAGAACTACACTGAAAGTTCTACAAATCATTAGTCTTTCTAACACCTTACATTCCCCCATCTCAAATCCAATCTCATTATGCCAAATAGAGGAATGGGTATTATTTCATTCTGCTCCTGGGATGCCCATGGTCTTGGTCTCCCTGTTTATGACCTAAATACTTCTGATGCAAGGCCTTTTATGGAATGGCTACATCATTCAAGAAGACAACAAACACCCAAGAGTCACTGATATAGCTGTGCTTCTGCATGACAGAGATCTTTGATGACTTAATTTCCCATGGGGGAATAGTTTAATTTCTAATTGGGGCAAACTATTAGCAGCCCTATTATTTATTTCAGCTCTGATAAGAACACATCTCCATGTTAGATAGGTATAATTTTCATGTTCTTTCCTCCAAACATCACTACTTCATGAAACCACCGAATAAAGCGATGCCGAGGGAGATGTGGTAAAGCTAAAGTACAACATGGACAAGAGCCAGTTCAAACACAGGTAGAAACACGTGACGTCACAGGCCCACTTACGCTTCTGGCTGCTGCAGGGCAGTCTTCATTGCTTTGATTTGTTGGAAGTGACAGGACATATCGGTGGCCATCACCATCTCAATTACCAACGTTCGAAACTCCCTTTCAGGAACACCCAGAGGAAAAAAGGATGGAAGTTTAAAAAAAAAAAAAAGAAAGATAAACGTTACTTTATTTCTTGCCACTTCTAGTCAAAATCAGTTAATTATTTCTGACATTGGTAATCTAATTTGAGCCTTTATGAGAGCTTTTTATGAAGAATAAATGAGGGTGAAAGGTTGAGGAGATCATTTATTAGGAATATTATACATGGAATACATATGTGATTTGGAAAATTAACTCACAGGACAGATTCCAGTGAAGCTGAAAATTGCACTGAAGTCCTCCTTTCTCAACTGAATTCAAAGTTATCAGAAAGAATTGATTTGAACATAACCCTAAAGGATAGGCTGATATTATACTTTTGGGTATGGGTATTTCACCTATTTAAAATAGATTTAATTTAAAAAATTTATAGAAAAATTGAGCAGACAGCACTGTCTCCATATACCCCCTCTCTTATGTAAGTACTAACATTTTATATTAATATGGTACAATTGTTACCACTGATGAGCCAGTATTGGTATATAATATTATGTAATGCAGTTTATATTAAGGTTCACTACACAATTCTACAGGTTTTGACAAATGCTTAATGCAATTTATTATTACAGTACAGCACAGTACAGAATAAATTCAGCACCTTAAAATTCCCAATGCAGCACTCATCACCCCTTGTTCCTCCTGATAACCACTGATCTTATAAAGACCTTGCTCACTCGGTTATAGATGCTGACAAGTCCTGAGATCTTGGAATCATCCAGTTGGGGCTCCAGGAAAGCCAAGGGTGTGCTTTCAGTACAGACCAGCAAAAATCAAGGCTCAGGAAAAGTCAGTGTTTCAGTTTAAAGACAGTCGAAAAAATTCTCTATTACTTGGGGAAAGGGAGGGCCTTTTTAGTTTCTCTGCCCATAAAGTGATTAGATGAGACCTATCATATTAAAAAGGGAATCTACTTTCAGACTCTACTCGTTTATACTATGTTAATCTCATCTAAAAACAATGGAAGACAATGTAGGTACTGTAGTTGTTGTGTGGTATTCCATAAAAATCAGGTAGGGTGACATACTGATATTCTCACTTTCCTCTCCCAGGACTCACAGCTGTCCTTATGCTTGATTATATGAAACGTTCCCACAAATCCCTAAGGCTCTGTTCATTTTGAAACATTTTTTTCTCTTAACTTCTTAAAATTAGATTATTTCCAACAAATTTTAAAAATAACTTCAAACATATTGACCTCCTCTCTTCTCCATCTTGCTATGCAATAAATTTTTTATTTGATATTATTTAAATTCTCCTATGTCCTTCTATTATTTTTGCCCTTTTAAAATTAATTACTCAAACGGGAATGTTACCATCTAATAAGATTGTGAAAACATATACTCTTACCTTTTTCCTGATCATTTTTATATTTTGAAAGTCTACAGTTAGAGAATGCTTATTATGTTTGCTAAATCTTTCATGACAATTTTTATTATCAGAAAACATTCTTTATCCTTGGCAATACCATTTCTGGGAGTTCATTTTATCTAGTTTTAGTATCAGCACTGGAGTCTTATTATGCTTATTTTTTGCTATATTTTATACCTTTTTACTTTGTCCTTGTGTCTTTATATTTGAAGTATGTTCTTTGTACCCAGAATGCAGAAAAGCTTGCTTTTTTAATACATTCTGAATTTACCATTGAATTAGAGTGCTGAGGCTTTTAATGTTTAATGTAATTATTGATATGGTTGGATTTAGGTCTAGTATGTTGTTTTCTGTTTGGCCTGTCATCTTTTTTACCCCGCTATAACATATCCTCTGGTTTTTGAGATATTATTCTTTTTAGCTTATTTTAACTTACTTAATGAATTTTCCCCTATCTTTAGCTAGTACTGTTAATTTTTCAGTGGTATCGTAATATACATTCTTAAGTTTTAATCTACTTAGAGCTAATATTGCATCACTTCATGTAAAATGTAAAAGAAAAATCTTACCACAGTATAGGTTCATTTAATGCCACTAACCCATCTTTATGTTATAGTCTTTATATGTAGCCAGAGGTATTATATTTTCCTCATTATATAACTCATGAGAAGTTATAATGTTTTTATCTAAATGATCATATGCCCTGAATGTAAATATGTTAAGAAAAACTGTCTTTTTTGCATTTACTCATATTCTTGCTGTTTTCTTCTTTCCTATATGTCTAGTTTTGCTCTACAATCATGTCCTTTCTACTTGAAAAACTTTTGTTAGCAAGTCTTATGATACAGTTGTTTCGTGGGTAAATTTCTGCTATTTTCCACTGCCTGAAAATAGCTGTATTTAACCTTCATTCCTGAAGAATGTTCCCATAGAGTGGACCATTCTGTGTTGACAGTGTCTTTGCTTTTGCCTTTTAGTACTTAAAGAGGTTATTCTATTCTCTTCTGGTCTCAAAGTTATCAATGAAAAGTACACAGTCATTCAAATTGCTCCCCCAAATGTAATCTGTCATATTTGTTTAATTTTAACTTTAACTATTAGCAGTTTTACTGCAATCTATGCCTAGGTGTGCTTTCCTTTAAATTTATCACTTTTTGGTCTACTGAGTTTCCATCATTTAATTAAAATATAAGTACTACTCCAGTCAGAGTAGTATTCTATTCAGAATTTTTAATGATTCAGATGATTTTGTGTATGAACATTAAGCCAGCTTACAGATAACTACAATGATTTGCAGGCTGTCTCTCTCTCTCTCTCTCTCTCTCTCTCTCTCTCTCTCTCTCTCTCTCTGTGTGTGTGTGTGTGTGTGTGTGTGTGTGTGTGTTTTAAGCATTTTAAGTGGATTATGTTATTTATTATAATCTTGACTGAGACAACCCACATTCTGGGGCTCCTTCTGTCTCTCTCAGACAGAAAATATCTCTCTCAATAAACTCTTCTTACCCTTAAAAAAAATAAATAAACAAATACAATCTAGACCACATTGTAGAATAAATGCTGTTAACTATTTTCTAGGAATTAAATGTTAAAAATGTAAGAGGATGTTGAATAATTTCTCCACTGTCATACAACTACTAAGTGATTTGGCGTGTATTCAACCTCAGATGTGTCCAAATCTAGAAGCAAGCAGTGATCATTTAGAAAACAAAATTAAGTACCCATCATTTTTTTGAGTTTCAAAATAACCTTCTTAGAAAATTTTAAAACATTATTAATACATTCAAAGCAAATGCAACATGTTTTTCATAAATGTGAGCTGATAAAATGCAGATTTAAGAAGTTCAGCTGAAAGTAACCCTCTGCCTCTTACAGGCTAGAAAGTATCAGCAGGGAAAACACTGGGAAACAATGCTTCCAATGCAACAAGATTTCCAAGGGACTCTCAGTTGGACACTACTGGAAGAGGATCTTCCAGTTTTTCACCTCAAGAATTTTTAGTTCAATATTGAGTTCTTTGACATAAACTGGTTCCACTTTCCAATTCATTATTATAAGAACAATATGAAGATGGCAAAAATGGCCACATAACATTCTTAGCTTTCATTTACAAGCATTTGAACCTTTGCCAGAAAAAAAAAAAAAATAGAAAAATGGGAGAGACACAAAGAGAGGGAAAGACAAAAAAGAAAAGCAACAATAGAAATTTAAAATAGGATATTCTTCAAAGGCAGCATACTTCACCTATTTTCATAGTTTTTCCTGAATCTCCCTTAGTTCATCCTTACCTCCAGTCATCCTTTGAGAGGTTGATCAAAATATTCATCTCCTCATCCTCTTGCAGAAGCCGGTAAGCTGCACTCAAATGGTGATTTTCTAGGACAGATCTATCGTTGTACAGAATAGCTGGATCAGACCTGGAAGAAAACACAAACATCATCTAGGACATTAAACATCCGCGATTTCTTCCAGTAGCTCTCATAGGCTAGAAAGCACCAATCATAAGTAAAGCTTTTAATAATTTTGTGGGGAAAAAAGGAAAGTACCAGTACTGTTTCCAATGTTTAGAAACTATCTTTGCCCTCATAACATTTGTATCAGTCAAACCTCAAACTAACACTATTAATTACCAATAGATGCATGTAGGATACTGTACACCAATATATCACTGTGTAATATGGGAGATCCAGCTGAGAATTGTCTGCAAACTGTTTTATAGCAAGTCTCTACTACCTTGTACAACTTGCAAAAGTAGTTTTTAGAAACACATGGGTTATGTCAACTTTCCTTATATTTCCTGGAAAAACTTCAAATTCTGATTTTTATGCAATTCAGTGAACTCACTGGTTATGCATTTTAGTTACAGCTCTCTGAACATAAAGATGGGTACTAAACTGCCCCTGTTAGTAGTTTGATCTTAAAATTTTTATATGCAAAAGTCACATGTGAATAATTGAGAATAAGAAACATAAAGATTATATGATAGTTCTTACAGACTTTCTCAAAGATCATTTTACAACTGAATGCCACCAAATACAGGGCTATATGTTATTTTAATATCTTTAATTTATTGATAGCTTAAATTATTAGGGCTAATTTTCTTATTAAGGAAGCTAAATCCAGAGCTATGTGCTGTTACTGAAATATGTGATGTAACTTAAAATTTCCCTCACTTCATGAGTGCAGTAGGTATGATAAAATAATGCAGTGTATGCCAATGCCAAGTATCATCCAATGGAAAGGTAGGATAATAAAAATATTACAGTCTGTCCTCATTTGCCTTAATCTCAGTTCTGGCACTATGTAACGTCTGGCTATCCTTCAAAGTGAAAATGACCATACAGCAAAAGTTTTCAATTCATTTAGGACGTAGAGGCACACAGGGCAGTGGAAGGAAAGACACTCACAAAAGAGGACTTCCAGAACTGCTGCAGAAAATGGTAAGAATAATAGTGTGTTTGAAGCGAGGGGAAATATTTTGAGGGGGACTAATGGTAATGTGTCTTTTAATGTAATAAATCTTTAAAATTTTTAGTATTCATATTTTTATCATTCTTCATAATGGGTTCTTAGAGCCCCAAGATTTTTTAAATTTTATTTTAAAAAGAGTAGTAAAGGAGAAACAAACAAACAAAAAAATAGAACAGTAGCAGCATACCAGTATCACAAACATAAACAAATCAAAGCAAGAACATTCAAAGTGATAGAAAGTCTCAAGACAAAATAATATGAATCAACAGTGGTTACATATCCCTACCCTCAACTACATTGCTCAGATTACCAGATGTAAGAGTGAAAGACTGCTCAAACCATTATAGGGAATAAGAAAATAATTCTTTGATAAAATAGTAGAGATAATACAGAGTTTCACTAGACAAGATGGTAGGAGTTCACCATTGTAATTCCATTGTGTATCGTTACTTTCATATCAGTTGCTCAGACCACCAGACACAAGAGCCCCACATTTTAAGACAAGAGGCAAGGTCTTCTGAGGGCCAGTGCTCCCCAAGATAACTTCCACTTATCCTGGCCAACTTTTGGGATGTATCTAGCATACCTTAAAAGTATTGGGCTTAACATTTTATCCATTAAAGGATAATGTACATGGTTACAGATTTACTTTTGTGAACAGGGATTTCCAAGTACACTGGAGAAAGCTCTGTTGAAGAGGGCAAATGTTTAACTTTCATCTCAAACCAAACTTAATGGAACCCACTAGTATTTCCCCCTTCTACAGAGATTACACAAAATATGCAAATGTCTAGGTAAAAGACCTGACTTTACATATGTTGGATAAGCTAGTTACCAAGGAATGTGCATATTGTGACACTGAGCTAGTTTTTACCTCTGAGTTGGGACTGACTTCAGTATTGGTCCATAGGCAAGATCCACACACAACAGCTTAACCCACCTCCCTTTCTCCTGCAGGTGTTATTTTCTGTAGTCTATGTCCTCAGAGCAAAAGATCCACCCACAGACACACACTAAGCAGAGCTCATCTGTGGAGCTTCCTGTATTTACAAGCTGCTTCCCTGCAGCTGAGATCACTGTAGGTAGGGAGGCAGAAAGCAGGAACTAAAACTTAAATCCTTTAGTCTGTTTGCATTCCATTGGAATTCCCCTCGTAAGCAGAGATCAGATGATATTGTCTTCTTTCATGTACCTCCTAGTCAAGTATTTGGTTCACTAAATACATGTAGATTCACTTAATGAACACAAAACCATCCAGAGCATACACCTGCCTTTTCAAGTGAAATCAGGCAGTACTGATTTGGTATTCAAATAGCCCCTGGGCCCCCTTATATTCTTGGGCTTTATATTACCATCTTTCCACCATTATCCTATTGTCAGATTCTTCCCAGTTCCATGTTACTGTCTTAAGAAACCATAAGGCTTTAGGCCAAGAGAGGACAGACAAGATTTCATCCCAAGCAGAAATGACAACTAACTCATACTGTTTGGCTAGAATTACATGCTGAGAGGAATATTAAGGGTAAAAGCACAGCTTGGGAAGCAAAGATATCACAATCAACTAGTGATCAGTTACAGATTAGCAGGCTCAGAGTGGCACACTTAGAACCCCCTTAGTATCCCCAACAGAGGTCTATGTCTACATTTGCAGCATATCATGAAGGAGATAGAGACAGCCCAAGTGGCAAGTGGCTTGGGTGGGACAACCTGGCTTCCCCAGCCCTGAGCCAGGGATCAGGGCAGGCACTGAACTGAGCAGAGAAGTAAGCATAGCCTCTCATCTGAAACCCACAGATGAGGGGGTAAAAAGGCTGGATGATGGATTGGGCCCACAACACTCCCCTCATCACTTGTCCTTTTAGTTTAGCGGGCACCTGGGCCTCTATGCAAACTGCTTCACCACCTACTAGGAATAGAGTACGCACAGAACACACATGAATAAACAGAGCAAGAATTACAATATAGCAGACAAGAACATCCTTCTTAGATCTCCATAAAGTATGAGAATTCTGAGCAGATGGTTTCTTCAACCCTCAGCTGATAGAAGCTGACCAGACCCAACTTTTATGTTCAGCTCCTCAGAATCATAAAATAGAGCAACCATGTTTTTTTAAAAAAGGGAAGAACAGCTCTCTGACTTCTAAAACTCTACCTCTGCCCCTCTGGTTTCTTCTGTAAACAGTTCAACATCCTCACCGAGTCTGAATGTGGAAATTGTTGGTGGTTCCGGTGTGTTCGTAGTCGTGGATGGCTGCTGAGAAAATTATAGCGAAGATCTCCAGCTCCGTCAGCCAGTTCTAAAAGGGAGATTACAGAGCAATCAGATATTGCGTTTCATTCTCAAGGTTTTCAGTGTGCTGACAACACACCCATATTGCTGCTTTTCCACACTGCAGCTGGAAGTTATTGCCAAACACAAGTTTTCTGACACATAGAAATTTTTTTTTTCCTGTGAAGTGACTGCAGGACTTGTGACTTGAAAACAGCATGTGAAATTAAAAGAGCTAACTAATACTTTCATCCTTTTCAAGAAATCCAAAAAACAACAACCATGAAGACTTTAAAGCCCTCACTGCATCCTCACACAACTTCCAAATAAATTGCCTAGATTTCTCTCTCTCTCTCTCTCTCTCTCTCTCTCTCTCTCCCACACACACTCATGCATGATTTAAAAATTTCAACACAACCCCAACAGCAAGCACTAAGAGTAACAGAAAACCCACTAATCATCTGATTACAGGAGCAATATCCACTACAATGTGGGGAGAGACACATAGAGAAACTACGTGTGGCTTTCTGTCCCCACGTGCTCGTGTTAGAAGGGACCTGTCCCCACCCACACCATCATAGTCAGCTGTGGCTCAGTGTTTGCCAGATGTGTTCCTTGAACCAGATGAATTAACATTAGTAGAGGGCCCAAGCAAATTCTTTGTTCCCTTCTAATCTCATTGTATCAGAAACTCTACATTGTGACTTTTATCACAACTTGTTAAAGTCTGTGTTTTACCAAACTATTTACCAGATAATTCTGATGCACCCTGGAACTGAGAACCACTGCCTTGTTTGCAACTCTTCAACTGATTCCATTGCTGGGCTCTGTGTGTTCACTGATGGTTCCCACCATGACTGCCCAATGCCCCCCTTGGTGCCCTTTGCCCACTTTCATTATTAGTTGATTTGATGCTCACAAGATTCAGTACAGTTGTTAGGTACCCTATTTTGACAATGACATATCTGTCATTTTGAATATATAATTAAGTGCAACATGAGTCAATAAAACACGAACACAGAAAATGGAGATGTTATTTCTGTAGAACCTAAAAGTTCAATGCCTTGGACACTCACTAAGAGAACTGCTGTAAAATATGTGTGACAATTATGAAAACATAGAAGACAAGTATAAAATTTAGAGAGAGTCTGCACTCAGTTTGTTTCTTGGGTATCTTTAAGATGACATTTCACTTTAAAGAAATGAAACTAGAAACCTTAGATATGCGCAGGCCTGATGTAAGTTCAAAATGAGTACTGAAATGGGCAGAACTCAGGAAAGAGCCTAAAGCCTAAATTAAAGATAACTGCAAAAGCTATGTTTATATGACTTAATACAAATGTCTTAAGATGAATATATACATTTTATGATTCCCTAATTTAACCATGTCTTTTAATTAGCTCTTAAGTTTGATCCTCATCTAAAAAAATTCCCAATTTATTGCCCTCTTTGGGAATGGGTAAAGAGAAAATAAAATAAAATAAAAAATAATATATAACCTATGATAAAAACACTTCATAAGCTAGGTGTGGTAGAGCATGTCTATAATGCTAGCACTCTAGGAGGCTGAGGCAGGAGGATCACAAATTCAAACCCAGCCTGGGCAACTTGCTAAGACCCATTTCAAAATTAAAAGAAATAAAAAAGGGTGGGGGCTGTAGTTCATTGTGAAGACCCTGGATTCAATCCCTTGTACTGTAATGAGAAAAAAAGAAAAAAAATATATATATATATACACTTAGTTAAATCCAGCAAGAAATGTTAGGAAATTTTTTTGGCATGTAGAGAAACACAAACAGAGGTAAAGGGAACAGAAAAAACATAAAGAGAAAATAGACTACGCTGGAAATCAACAAAATGAGATGAATGGAAAGATTATACAAGCAGAATGGCACAGCCCCATGCAGTCAGCAAGAGTCTCTAGGCCACCTCCTCAGTCCAGGGGCTCCCTACATGGCAGGGCCTACTCTAGGTGCTCTGTATGCAGCAAGTCTAGCAACTTGAGCAACTCCATAAAGGGAGATACTGTGCTATTGTTATCCCACTTCACAGATGAGAAGTCTAAGCCAGGGAGGCTCCAGATCTCCTCAAGGGCATATAGGGTGCCATTTGATGAGCCACACAGTAGGACTCCAGAATTCTCACTTATAATCTTTAAGTCATGTTTCCTTTGGGTCATTATTCATGTGTTTCTTCAATTCTGAATGTAGTCATATAGGTAAAATTTTATATTACACATTTTCTTGATATTGCCCATAAATATCACATTTTTTCCATTTTAGCATGGCCTTTCTTTTCTTATCCCCAACACCCTGACTCCACCCATCTGCCCCTGAATCTCCCTATCTGCCATCCCACATATGTCTCTTATTATAAGCTCATGTAAATTTTACATTTCAAAATAAGACTAAGAATAAGAGACCATGTAGTGTCTGAGTCACAGAACATTAGCCCAGCCAGCAGGAAGGCCTCTGAACTGACTGCATGTCTATAACAGCTTCCATGTTATAAATACTGACCGTACCTAAAAACATAGCAACAAAATCCTGTCTTACAGGCCAGGGATATAGCCCTGTCTTAGGTATAACCTACTTCTAATAAGCCAAAAACAATGGCTGGCTAAACCTGCACACAAAACCACAGCCTTCAGAGCTTATTTTAAAACCCAAGCTTTTCAGCAACCATGTGGATGCCTAGAATGAATTATGCTAAGAAGAAAGAAAAGATCATCTGAGTGAAGCAGGGGAGGGGAAGGACACAGGGAAGAGACATTTAAGATGAGCCTTGAAGACTACATGGAGCAAGAGATAGGCATTTTCATAAGAAGCCTGTTCCTCTTGAAGAAGAGAATGACACTGTTGGCTAGAGCAGACTCAGGACTGATTAGGGCCAGGTGACGTCTGCCATTGAAAGCAAGAGTGAGTGGGAAATGTAAACTGGATTCAACAGGCAGGACGTTTACAGGCAATAAATGATATAGCCAGGACAACACTGTAGGCAGTATATGGGGCAGGAGCAGAAATGGGAGCTGTAAGAGTAGTATTTGGAGACTAGAAAATTCTTAAAGAATATGTAAACAATGTGGAGGCAGAGTATGCATGACTTAGAAAAATAACCGAATTTAGAGTAGGATGAGTGAACGGATAGGGGCTGCAATCAAGGAGAACAATGAATTAAATCTGACCTCACCCCTGTGAGCCTACACAGCTAAAACTACCCTGGGTGATACTGCGTTAGGTAGCATCGCTAATAAGCATAGAGAAGGTGGGAGAAGTTATTTTGAGGGAAACTGGGCTTTACATTTTAATACAGATTTCCTTGACTTTTCCAAATTAACTACTGTGAATGAAGAAAGTTTTATGTCAACGTGTAAAAAGCTAGAAATTTAAGTCCCACAGATATTTTATTCCAGAATTGTCAAACTGTGACGAGACGTAAGTCATAGATCCTATCAGTGTTTCCCTGTCTACAAAATGTGAGTGCCACAGCTAATTTGGTGACAGGCATGCCTTGATAGCTAGTGATGACAGACTTTGAATTGTGTGGCAGGTGACTCAGAAAGGCTGTGTGTGTGTGTGTGTGTGTGTGTGTGTGTGTGTGTCTACAAGGCAGGTAGAGAGAGATGGGTGACAGTCAAGGGGAAACTCAAAGGCAAAGGACACAGGCAATGCCCCCTTGCTAGAAGAAACATTACTAGTAAATTGGGACTCTCACATGTGAACAACAGAATTTTGTTAGCAATCCCCTCCTGCATTAGTTGCCTATTGCTATATTAAGAAATCACCACAGATTTAAAAGGATGAAGGGCCTTCTCTCATTTACTGGCACACAGTTCTATAGGTCAAAAGCCCAGCATAGCACTGGTAGGTCCTCTGATCAGGGTCTCACACAGCTGAAGTCAAACTGTGAAAGTGTTATGTCTAGATGTCCTCCCAAAGCCTCATGTGGTCACAGGACCTTTTTCAGAAGACTTTGTCAGAGGCTGAATCTAGAGTGTGTGATTGATTCATAGTACAATGCTTGCATTAAGGGGGCTGGGATTAACGGTGGGTGATTGCAGGATCAGTCCACTGATTAGGTTGTCACCACCCTAATCTGGGTAGACAGGACACAATATAAGGGACAGAAGGAAGCTTGTTTCCCTCTCTGCCTCTCCTTTGTTGCTTCTGCTGTCTTTTGCCAACATGAACTGTTGCCCTCTGCCCTAAGCTAACCTGCCTTGGAGCCAGCCAACTATGGACTGAAACCTCCACAAACCATGAAGCTTATAAATAAGCCTTTCTCCCCTTAATTTTGAGCATTGGATATTATATCTCACCAATGAGGAATGTAACTAAGACAGGTTGCATTTTTTTCTGGAATCTTTTGATGGTGTGTGGTGCCTAGATGTTGTGGTGGTAAAGGACTGGCTCTCAGGAGTATTCAAGGAATGGGCAGAATTCAGGTCTCATGCTTTCCATTCGGCCCCTCTCTGAGCTGGCAATGTGAGTTCTTCTCATGCTTCAAACCTCCCTGACTTCTTCTATCCTATCTTTTTGACTGACTCTGTCATTCCCTAGTGCCATTTGGAGAACCCACAATAATCTGTCTCTGTAGGTCTACTGATTTTCTAGATTAATTGAAAAATCCTTTGTAAACTGCCTTTGCCATTGAACGAAACGTATTAGTGACTGTGACATCAAGAGGACTAAGCTAGTGAAGGCCAAATTTCTGCCAGCCACAACCCTTCATAAAATTATTTAGCACCTTTAACCAAGACATCATTGTATCATCCTTAGTGTTTCCATTGTATTATAATATCACGTATAACCCAAAGAACAAGATACATAGTTTCTCCTTTTTGAAAAAAAAAAAAGGCAAAGGAAATGTTAATAGCACCTTGTCTGACAAAATCAATGAAAATGGTCAAGGGATAGCACTAGAGTTTTGAATCTTCAGACCTAAATCAAAAGCAGACTGGAGCCTACAGTCTGATTAATATCTATTCTCTCAATAACACTTCTTCAATCTAATTCTGTTCAAGGATTT